CCCTGATTCCTGACCAAGTGTAGCAAAAAGGGGCGGAATCAATAGACGGTTGGCACCCAAAGGCAACCGAGGAACAGAGCTGCCTGTGACAATCCCCGAGCCTATTTTGGTTGCTGCACAGCCTGGGAAAGACTAGGCAGGCATGTGCTGATGACAAAGAGAGCAGGTGGGAAAGGGCAGCTCCAACCTGGGAGGACGCCATGGTCTTGGCCAGCTGCTTTGGACCCTCCAGGCACTCCTCTGAGCCAGGATTTTTGGTCTGAGATGCCAGGCATTAGTGAGAGCAGAGGATTCAAGCCAGCAGCTGCTCTTGGCAGGAGACAGGGCCTCGGGAGGGGAGGGGGAGCCCCCCAGAGATATAGAAATGGGGTGTCTTGAGGAGGGGCTCCACTGCAGCTGGAGGGCTGCTGCTCCCTTAAGGTTCGTGCCCAGTGGGTTTAACCACGTTCTCCTGAATGCCTTGAGGCCCTGTCAAGGGGATCCTTGCACAGAGACCCCCTGCACCTCCCACCTGTTCTGCCGGAACTTGCAGCAGTCACAGCCGGGCCGAAGAGGGCGAAGCCTGCAGGCGAATGCTGTGCATCGGAGGCTCTGGGCTGCCCACAAGGAAGCAGTTGCACTCTATACCCTGCAACCTCCACTTTCCTCCCACTGACCCAGGCACAGGAAGTTGGTCAGCATTGGGAGCTTGAGGCCTCTCTCTTGGCACATCAGGGCAGCATGACTTAAATCTGGGTTTCCCCTTCCCTTTTCACGTTGCCCAGCCAGGGTCCTTTGGGGAACCCAGGGCTGCAAAAGGGAAAAGAGCATTCCCAACAACCCTTGTGTCGTGGGGCTGCCAACGTGGATCCCTGGCACAGACAAGGCCGCCAAGATGCCCTCCATTTGCCCGAGTCTATCCCCACAACCCTGGCGGGGATCAAGGCCAGCCCAGGAGGCAGCCTAAGACCCGGCAGAGCCTGGCACCCAGGAGGGCAGGAAGCAAGTACAGAGCCCCCTTCCCCACCTGGGAACCAGACTGGAGCCTGGTAGGAGGTGCAGGGAGCTGCCTGCCTTCCAGGCTTAGGGCTCACCGTGGCCTCCCTGAGGTTGTGAAATGGATCGGCGGCTGGGAGGAAGGGAGAAGAGGGAAGAAGCCACATTGCAAAAGCAAAGCCACGCCGCCCTGGGCCAAGCCTCTCTGAGCAAGAGCTTGGCTTCTGCATGGGAACCTCTCCAGATCCCTCAGAGAGAATGGCTTCATCCGACAACAAAAGAGGTGGTTTCTCCAGGAAGGCGGGCTGGCGGTGGGGGAAATGGGGTGGAAAGATCTGGAGAAAGAACATTCCAGACCACTGAGTCAACCTGCCCAGGGCTGGGGGCGAGTTGGTGGATGCGGTGGCTTCTTCAGCAGCCTCAGAAGGGATCCCAACCCCAGAAGGCTCAAAAGGAGGGGCTCTGGAGAAGCCGACTCTCTCTGGCACCCATGTTGCAACCTCAGGGGCCCCAAGCTCACAGGGTTTCTCTGTACCTCTGCCAAACCAGCCCTTTGGGTCGCTATTTATTTCATGTAAAGTATCTGCTTCGCTGGGTGATTCATGGAAGACTGCGTGGATCTTGAATGATACCTGGTTGCCAAACTAGGACAACTAGTGTAGGATAAATGCAAGAGAACTTTTAAACAAGAAGTCGATGGTTACTGCATTTGCAAATCCTGGTTTTGAAAGACCTGGGTGCCTGGGGAGTGTCTGAACAAAGGATTTATGGGTTGCCCCCAGGCCCCAATTTCCTATTGCTTTATGGTGTAGCTCAAGATATGTGAGAGCCAGGTGGCCTTTGCAGTGAAGGAGATGGAGGGAAAGAGCAGCCCCACCCCTTGGCATGAGGTCCACGTAGAAGCAGGAGGGAGACCATGACTCATACCTCCAGAGTCCCTGACCCAAACACTGTGGGAGGGTTTGCAAGCTCTTCCCCCCCACCCCAGGGAACCTAGGAAAATATTTGTCCCTGCTTCTTCAATCTGTCCCTCGCTGGAAGGACGTGGCCCTTGGGGTGGAGAGGATACCAGAAGCAGAGCAAGGGCCTTTTTCTTAAGCCAACTCTCAGCAAGGAAAACAGCAGCAAACAAGGGGACCAGACTTCATCGTAAGCATCGGCCAGGCCAGAGAGCATCCTGAAGGCATACTTGCACCCGCACCACAGTCCCATGCTTCCAGGCCAAGCTTTGAGCTGCCGACCAAAAATTCAGAAAGCTTTCAGCATCTTGGCCAGAGAATGAGGAGGTGGAGGGAGGCATCTCAAGGTGCTACAGAGGCCACGCAGGAGGCTATGGGCTTGAGCTGGCTTTTCTGCTTTGAAAGCCAGCAACAAGACGCTGTTAGGCTTAGCGGTGCCTCGCAGCCACGTCCGTCTCCAGGCTGGCTGTCCCTTGGCCCTGTTCCTGGGGATGGATCCCCTACGGAATGCAGCATGGCCCCACAGAAAGAGCTGCTGCTCCAGGAATAGCAGAGATCCGATTTAATAGATGCTGCACACCATTTCCCAACCAGCTTTACTGAGCCACCGTTTTCTTTGGCCAGAGTTCAGCAGCCCTGGCAGCGCTTATTTTGCAGTAGCAAAAGTTCAAGGCAATGGGCCACTGGAGCTGACTGTTTGGCTTTATTCCCCCCCCACCCCGTCCCCCCCTAAATATGACTGGCTCCCTCCCTGGCTGCATTGGAAAGAGCTTTGAAATCCTCTATCTTTCCCCAGGCTTCAGATTTTCTTTAGGCTACATTGCTCAGGGTTCTTGTAGAGCTGGGAAATCTGTAATAAATAGAGAGCTGGCCATGTGGGCAGGAAGCAAATTACTCATTTTGCCAATGTGCATATGGGTAGATCAGATTTTAATCAGGCAGTTAGGTTCTGGCCTGTGAGGGGACTCAAGCTTTCCCCAGGGAAACAGGTCAGACTGTACAGAAAACGGCAGATATGTCTGAGAGAGCAAGTATTCTGCCAGTAACTAAGCTGATTTGCTGTCTTTGGATCTCACAAATGCCCCCCCCCCCGAATCTCCTCCAGGCACCCCCAGCTTCCAGAGTCACTGGAATCCAGTGTGTTGTGAGAACAAAGCATTGTTCAGTAGTCGCAAATATATCACATGTATAGAAAACCCATATCTGGCATTGCAGTGGCTAGAACTCTTCCAGGTGCTGCATGACCAGTTTAACATAGAGTAGAACTACTCCTTCAACCTTTCAACCCTGTTGATGTATCCCAAGGTTACAGTGATCACACTACTGGCTTAATCTGTGGTCTCCTAGGACACCCAGACCTTTGCACACACACAATTGGTGAGCCAAATGTTGCCTTACTGCGCATCTGGTTTTCCCTATTTAAATGCAGAATGCCACATTTCTCACTACTGGGCTGTATATTATCGGAGAGGGCCCAGTGTCAAATCTAGCGAGATCCCTTTGAAGACGGGTTCTGCTCACCAAATTGTCTTTTATGTCAATCCTCCAAATACCACTCCATCTAGAAAGCGGGTGGTATGAGGAAATCAAATAGTCTCCCATCCTCATGGGTTGGCACTATTGGCCCTGAGCTTATGCTGACCCAGCCAGCTTAATGGCACAGCATCCCAGCAAGAACATCCTCCAAGCAACAGCTAGTAGTTCCTGGAACTGAAGTCTCCAACTAAAATCCTCCTACAGCTGGAAGCCTTCCTGCTTCCCAAGGAAAAGCCAAAACCACATCCTGGAGGGGGACCCTGGTCAGGATCTTAACACACCCACACATCACAACAGGAAAATACTGCGCAAATGCTCTGCAGTCAAGTATTATCATTCCACCTCGCTTTTTTCTCCTAGTCTGAACACATGCAAATGATTCCCCCTCCCCCAATGATCTCTTCACAGAAGTGCTGCTCTTTGGCGATGCCCCAGCAGCTCCCAGAGGAAGCCCTCCACGGCTGGGGCTCCAGGAGCCCCTTTAGGATCGAGCAGCATAAGGCGTCGCCTGCTAAGGCGCCAAGTGGGCATCTCCAGGGCAAGAAGGGCCCCGTTCTTTGAGGGCTCAACCTTTTAGCCATCCCTTCTCATCAATGAGGAAGCCTCGCCTTCGATGCTATCGGGGTACGGGGACTAGGAGAACAGCCAGCTTCCGGTACCGCAGGGACCCTTTTACCGAGACGGCAGGCGGGCTGGGCACTTGCTTCGGCCAAGTTTCAGCTGCACTTTCCAAACGGAATGAAGGAGAACGAACCCAAAGTGGAGGGGGGGGGGGGGCGGGGGGGTTCGGAGGTAGGAAGAGATGGCAGGGTGGCAGGCAGCGGGTGGAGCACGAAGCGGGCTGCCCAGCCCAGAGCCCTGGGACGGCCACCAATTTGTGCCCCGCTGCCACAGCGCCGGGGCGAGAGAAGGGACGCAGCCCTGCCACCCCTGGGCACCCGCTGCTTCCAGAAAGGGAGTCTCCACTGCCGGCAGGGGACGGGGGACCAGAGCCCTTGCGAAGGGAGGGGGGCAACTGCCCCGAAGACCTCCGCTCCTGCCTCGCCCTGCACCGCAGCCGCGGGGTGGTGGTGGTGGTCCTGGGAGTCCATCCTGGGGGCGGAGGGTCCGTTACTGCCCACCCACCCACCCAGCGGGTCCACCAGCCTCGCCCTCCCGGAGACCCGGGCAGAGGAGCGGCGGTCCCGGTGACTCCCTCCGAAAGGCGGCGAGGCTGCTGCGACCCCATGGAGCTCCCGCCCCGCCCAAAGCGATCGGCTCCCTGGAAAAGCCCCTCAGGGGCGCCGGGAGGGCTGCTGCCGCCCGCACTTTGGGAGGCTCCCGCCCACCCGCCCGCGCCCCCCGCTCCCTCCGGGCCCTTTCCGCCCCCACCGACCCTCCCGAGCTCCTCCGCCAGCCGCTCTGCCCTTCCAGACGGGGAAGGCCGAGACAAAGGGGCAAGGGCGTCCCCCCTCCGATCGCCCGCCCGCCCCCGCCCCGCTTCGGCAGCCGCTGGGAACGGCCGCGCCGGCGCCCCTCGCCCGCTCTCACCGGCAGCGGTCCGGGCCACGGGGCCGGTCGGAGGCAGCCCGCCGAGTCCCAGCAGCCACGCGCACCGCCCGCCTTGGCCCCCCGGAGGCGGAGCCTGGGAGCGCGGGGGCGGGGCCACCGCTGCCGCCAGGCCTGCGGGGCGGGCTTCAGAGCCGGAGGCGCGGCGCCGCCAAACCGGTTGGGGGCGCGCGAGGGAGTCCTGGGCGGGGCGGGGCGTCCGACCCAGGCCTCGCCTTTCGGGTCTGTGCCAAGCGGAAGGGGCGGGCCAGTCCCCGGAAGTGGGAACCATGGCGGCGTTCTCGAAGGCGGCCAAGTCGCGGCAGCGGCAGCACCTCGAGCGGGGCCAGGTCGGCTCGGGGCTCCCGCGGGGGGGGGGCGGGGGGGCTTCCGGGGGGACCCCTCTGACTACGTGTTTCTCCTCAGCTCGCCTCGCGGAGGGCCCTGGGGCTGCTTGAGAAGAAGGCGGATTACCGGCTGCGCGCCGCGTGAGTGGAAGGGCCGTGGGGGGCGGGGGCGCGGCGGGGCTCGGGCTCCTGACCCGCCGTCTTTCTCCGCAGCGACTTCCACCGGAAGCGGGATGCGTTGCGGGCGCTGCGCCGCCGCGCGCAGGACAAGAACCCCGACGAGTTCTACTTCCGGATGAGCCGCGCGCCGCTGCAGGTGGGCCGGCGGGGCTGGGGTGGCGGGTGGCCGGCTGCCTTCCCCTCCCCGAGTCTCCCGCGGGCCTCCCGACGTGGCTCGCCAGCCGCCTGCCTGGAGCCCGACGCCTCGTGCCTTGCCGGCAGGACGGAGTACACGTGATCGGGGCGCAGGCCGCGGAGTCCACGCCCGAGCAGCAGAAGCTGCTGAAGACGCGGGACCTGAAGTACGTGGAGGCGAAGCGAGCGGCCGAGGTCAAGGTCAGAGGACTCCCCCGGCCCTCCGCCGCCCCTCCCTGCTCCCCACCCCACCTGATGCCCACCTCTCCTCCCCTTTCGCCGCTGCCCTTAGGCGGGGGGCCTGGACTGCCCCTTCCCGGGCTTGCGGTGAGGCCTCCTGGCCGAGCCGCGCTCTGCTGGTTGGGGGAAACGCACAGGGGGCCCAGGGCACTGGGGTCCCCTCCGGAGGTTGGGCCTGCTTGCCCCCCCCCCCACGCCCCCCTCCCCCTGGGGCCTGGCCGTGAGAGAGGCGGACTGTGGGGGCCCTTTCGCGGGGTGGGAACCTGCATCTTTTTAATGGCAGAAAATCGAGCGGCTGAAGTCAGAGCTCCACCTCCTGGAAGCGGAAGGGAAACAGCCAAATCGGCACCTGTTCTTTCTGGACACCAAGAAGGAGGGTAAGGCGGGGCTGGGGCTGCCGCTGGCTGGGTGTGCGAAACCAGGGGAGCAGAGAAGCCGGCCTGGTGAGGCTTTGACCTCCTGGCAGAAAGGCCGAATGGAAGGAGGGAGCTGGGGTGTTTCGTTGGTGTGAGGCTACTAGCAATAGGTGACTGAATTGCATGTTCTAGGTGAGTTGTAATTCAGCCACATTGAAAAAGTTGCCAATTCTGGGTTTTGACTGGGAGAAAAGGACAAATACAATGTATATAAAAAAACCAACACAACCCTGTTAAAATACCAGCTTTTTTGAGATGTTAAAAAGAATTAGACCAACACTACTTCAGAATTTTTTTCTACCTGTATAAGCTGTACAATTCAATTGAAAAACAAATATTTTAGGAAGAAAAAAATATTACATACATACATGTTGTGACTGAAAGGACCGATCCTGCTGTGATTTTTGATTCTGATGACTCTGAGGATGAAAGGCTGGAACCTGCTGAGAATTTGGAGTCTGAATTGTTAGAAGACACAGATGTGAGCCAGGGGGATGAGAGGTTATCACACAGACATTCTTCGCCTGAACCCTAGACCTCATTCATGCCTGCAATTGAGCCACAAAATGAGTCAGAAGAGTCAAGCGAGGAAGCTGACAAATTGTGGCTTGATGCCAGAACAAGAAGGAGGCTGAAACGTCAAGCTGTGGGGAGGCATCAGGCCAGACGTTGATTTAGGGAGATTGACACGCCCATCTAGGTGGTTTACGGAGACAAACTCAGTTAGAAGGGAGGGCGAGTCAGTAATTAGCACGTTGCCTCAAGGATTATAAAAGGACACAGCTGTGTGGGGGAAGATTGTCAGGAACAAAGTGACTGATTACGTGCAGAGGTTTTCAGCAGAGGCTCGGAGCTTTGAGAATTTGTGCCAGGACTGTTGATAAACAGGGCGTGTGGAATATAATCTTGTAGGACTCCTATCTGTTGGATTTAAGTTTTGGAACGGCTGCTTTTGGTTTTGTGTTGTTTGAACTCTGAAGGGGGAGCCATAACACATACATACATACATACATACATACACATATACATTACATACATACATACATACACATATACATTATATATATATGGCATTTGGCTTTGTTCGGGTATTTTCCCACGTCATTGTAGTTCTTTTAAAGTTGTAGCAACGTTTCAGCATAATCTCATCTGCCATCATCAGGCTTCTGTATAGATGTGTATAGATATGATGATGGCAGATGAGATTCTGCTGAAACGTTGCTACAACTTTAAAAGAACAACTACAATGACGTGGGAAAATACCCGAACAAAGCCGAATGCCATACATGTAAGTACCCGCGAAAACTTAAGAATATATATATATAAATATAAATATAAATTAATTAATTAATTAGCGGTTGCATAAGTGCCCTTAAAGTAATATTTTGTTAAAGTACTTTTTGATTTTATGACAGCATTCCGTCTTTTGGGGTAAGACGAGCCTATCAGCATGGTACATCTTGCCTTTGGAATCTTTGCCCACTCTTCCTTGCAAAAACACTCCAAATTTGACAGATTGTGAAGGAAATCTGTGCATAGCCCTTCTCAGTCACCCCACATATTTTCATTTGGTTCAGGTCTGGACTTTGAGCCATTCCAAAACTTTGATCTTCTTCTAGTAAATGCATTCGTTTGTTGATTTGGAGATATGATTTTGGTCATTGTGTTGAAAGGTGAAATTCCTCTTCTTCAGCGTTTTAGCAGAGGTTTGCACTTGACTAAAGCCCCACCCCAAAGTATAATGCTGCCACCACCATGCTTCACTGTGGGTAGAGTATCCTTTGGTTGATGCACTGTATGGTTTATGTACCAAATTTGAATTATGGCCAAAAAGTTCAATTTGGACTCATCAGAACACATTTTCCCACATGCTTTTGTCAGATAATGTATTTTTTTTTTTTTTTGCAAAATCTAACTGGGCTTGGATGTTTTTATTTCTAAGAAAAAGCTTCTGCCTTGCCACCCAACTCCACAGCACAGATATATGAAAAATACAGGGGATTGTTGTCACATGTAGTAAATAATCAGTACTTGACAGAAATTCCTGCATCTTCTTTAATGTTGCTGTAGGACAGGGGTGTCAATCTGGTAGCCTGTGGGCTGAATGTGTGACACGTAGGCCACGGCCACCCCAGCTTTGTGAAGGGAAAAAATGTCACGATACGTCACATGATGGCAATGTGACACGGTGCGTTTGACACCTGGGCTGTAGGGCCTCTTGGCAGCCTCTTCAACCAATTTTCTTCATTTTTAAAGTCGATTTTGGAGGGACATCCAGTTCTTAGTAATGTCACTGTTGTGCTACATTTTCTCCACTTGTTCATGTCTTTACTGTGTCCCATAGTATATCCAATGCCTTGGACATTGTAACATTCTCCTGTGGGAAGAAAAAATAGGCTTATTGATCGATCAGATTTAGTAAGGCCTTTGGATGACAGCTGACCCCAGAATAAAAGAGACATGAACCAAAGTTTTAGGCAGGATGATTTCAAAATGTACCAGAGATATTTGTAATCCTTCTGAGCTGTTTTATGGAATGTTATTTTGCAAAGTAGGTAGTGTTGAAAGCCATGAGAAATAGGGAACAGAAAGTAGCCACCAATGGATAGAAGTTTGAGATGGTATATGTGGAGACTGTCAGTAAGAAAGAACAGAGAAGTAAGTTGTCAAATGCATGCAGAAAAGTATAAAAAGAATGCCTTGTGATGTGTTCAGGGCCACTGGCCATGACTACTCCTTACCGGACTCAGCCATGTTGGTGGACCTCATTGCAATGAGTTATTTGATATAAATTGTGTTATGATAGCTGTTCATCTTCCAAATTGCTCATGAAATAAACCTCTGATCTCAAAGTAGGATTTATTGCTTGTGATTTGTCTGTGTTGTGATTTGTCTCTTTTATGGAATTATTTTTACGACACCCCTGACTGATACCTTACAAATAATGATCTCATTTGATGCTTTGTAAGCTCTTTGCAGACTGGCTTTTGCTGAGAGGCAATTGAGTAAATGTCAGAAAAATCCTGCAAGAATAGCTGAACTTTATAAGGGCTTGATCAGAGTCACTTTAATTGATAGCAGGTGTGTACTATTTACCATAAATTTGAACATGTTTGGTTAATTCTGAATGCAGACACATCCCTACTTATAAGAGGGTGTGCACACTTAACCAACCTCATTATTGAATCTTTTTGTTATTTTTCCTCCTAAAAGATTTGTTTTTTGAATTGAATTGCGCAGCTTATATGCTATATTAAAGGTGGGGGGAAAAATCTGAAGTGACTTATCTTGGCCTAATTTTTTTTTCAGATTAAAAATTCTGGCATTTAGCAGGGGTGTATGGACTTTTTCTATCCACTGTATTTACCCTTTTGTCTCGGCCAAAGCCCAGAACTAGGAAGTTTTTCAGTTTGACTGAATTGCAATTCACTTAGAATAGACTGGTGAAACTTGCAAGACTTCTTTCTTGATATTTGATGTCAGCAAAAATTGTCTGGAAAAATATGTGTTCTTGAGGCGGTGAACCTCTTTAAGAAGAGGAGGGACACCCCCCCTCCCCAAAGGAAGGATGCAACCGTCTTCGTCCCTCCCACTGTTGCAGCTCTTCTAAGTGAAGTAGCATGCCTGGCTGGTTATTTGGCCTTTTCCCCTTTGTGCAGCATGTTTCCTTTGTAAACCTAAGGCTGGCCTCAAACGGTTTGTAAGCTGAGAGTCAGTGAGGGAGGGTCCAAGTAA